TTTTAACCGTCACTAGAGGGCGTGATTTATAGGAGGGAGTGTTTGATAGCTACGGACGTGAACAGTCTTGCACCCGCTTTAAAGGGCGGTGGTCGTCACGCTGCGTCACGTCTTGTAAGTAAGCAATGTATTTTACATGCAAATAACACCGAATAAACGGCAAGGTGAATACTAAGTCAAATAATAGTAAACATGTACTGCGTGCGTGACTCGAACCGGCGCTCGAGTACGGCACATAATCGCCTAGCTTCACGCCACTAAACGTCTTCCCCTCGGCTACCGAGCATCCCCAAAAAAGAATGCTTAATAACCAGGCTAATTTGACGTAGTAGTATTTACCTTGCCGTTTATTTGGTGTTATTTGCTTACTTTACTTTCTATGTCGACAGCAACTATGAGTTTATTTTTTTTTAATTTTACACGCGTTGTTTATGAGTCCATATCGAACAGGATGCGGAGCGATGACCACCGCCCTTTAATGCTTTCCCACAGTTCCTCTGTCCCTCTATATAGAGGAGCTGTGGCTTTCCCGATATCGACTTCCTGTCTGGTTGCTTTCGTAATGTACAGTGACTGATGAAACCGAAATCTCCCTGTTTTCCTCCTGTCGTTTTTTTTTTTTTTTTTTTGTGTTATCTTCCTTCCACTGGTTCGGTATTTTAGTCACTTAATCATGATCGAAGTATGGTTATTCAAAATTATTTAACAGTGTATTGTAATGCGTGCTTGTTTGTATTTGTTTCATTCATTCATTCATTCATTCATTCATTCATTCATTCATTCCCAGTTATAGGCGAGTGGTGAAAAACGATCAAACTATCCTTGTTATCAATAGATATCAATAAGACTGTCGATCGTGTATGCACCTTATCATGTCAATTAATATTTAACACAGTTCATTTTGCAAAGTTCAACCAGGACAATATGGCGAAACGCAGGCATAAAAAAACACCCGAGGCTACCAGTAATAAGGTCAGTTAACCGATGTCATATAGGAGTAAGAGACATTTTCCATGCGGACTCTAAAATTGTGTGCTGTTTCCCCGGGGTTGTTGCGCCTCAAAATACATTCTAGGCTTTACGTTGTTTGAACACGTGGGCACACTGTAGTGTCAGTGGTCAAATTTACGGAGGTACATTCTTGGGGTTGTTGCGCCTCAAAAAACGTTATAGACTGTACATTGTTTGAACACATGTGGGCATACTGTAGTGTCAGTGGTCAAATTTACGGAGGTACATTCTTGGGGTTGTTGCACCTCAAAAAAACGTTCTAGGCTGTACATTGTTTGAACACATGTGCCCACACTGTAGTGTCAGTGGTCAAATTTACGGAGGTACATTCTTGATTCTGATGTATTTAGTTGTACAAGGTGTGGGTATATTTCACTCTGTGCACACTGTCCGTGCTGGTACACACATCATCATGATGGAATGTAGTAGAACAATAATCCATTAATAAACACGACAGCATCAAGAACAACTGGTTCTATCATCAATAGACAAGTTTCAATTTCCGCCGCCACATTAGAAACTTGTGCGCTCTGGTGTAAAAACGTACCGATTTCGTCTGCGTGGGGGTGGGGGTGGGGGGTTGATTTGTGATTTCGCCGCGTTAACGTTTGATAGCTCATCAAAAGACCAGGAACCAATGAAACGAATAAATTGCACAATATAGAAATAACCGTTCATTCTCGCAAGGAAACCGACTGGTGGCGCTATTACTCGGAATTCGTCTGTTAGATCACCGTCACGATTACTGACGAACTCACCATGGTGATTACCAATAAGACCACATGGTGATTTATGCTTGGTTCATTATTATTCTTTACATCCATTAGTTTTGTACCATTACATACTAATGTTTACACAAGTTGTATTTATTATCCACACCCCTGACATTCCATCAGAATTGTCCAAATCAGTCCATGTAATATCTCTCACAGGTAAAGTTGACATTCTGGTTAATCTATGCTATGATGGTGGTAACACTGTGTGCTCATGGACAATATGGATACAATGTTGCAGTACTTCCAGCACCAACTGAGGTATGAAAAACAAGTATTAAAAATGTTCTATTGGTTTGAGTATAAGTTACATTATAAAGTGGCCTTGTACATAATTTTAAAGCGGGAGGGTTGTCACCTGCGCACGCGCGGGAATTGAGTTCTAAGCGACGATAACAACACACGCGAAAAACGCAAAGGCTCATGGGTAGACACTTGTTTGTAAACAATGACACGCGATGGTCATCTGACGCATGCGCAGGTGACGACTCCCCCGCTTTAATTACTCAGTTTTCCTCAAAGATCATTCTATTTTTCAATTTTAGGTATACATTGCAAGAAATACCAGAAGCAGTATATTACCCAAGACAGGGACAATTAATAACATTTACTTGAATACTAAAGTGCACACATTGTCTAAGCGTTATAATGTATTGTAAGAACGCATTCACCTAGTACACCCACTTAAAACTGTGTTTGGCGCGCATGTTTATAGCTTTATTTGTGTGCAGAATATTATACTCTTCGCGTTGTTTCTGACGTCAGAGATTCAAATTGCGCATGTTCAACTATTCATTGAAGGAACACATTCACTACACTATTTCAAGCTGTCGTTTTGGGACAGTACTTTGTGGCGTAACGTAAATATTGTAACGTAAATAAACTGGATATTACATACGCTACTGTACATCTGCCTAAGAATTTGAACATTTGTACATGTATTAAGAAAAACGAATTGTGTAATGTTTCACGTGTTTGTTTGGGCGCCATATTTTATTTATTCAAATGATTTGTGGAATTCCTGAAAATATGTATTCAACTTTAGTGAAATAAGCGTCTGAATTGTGTAATTATAATATGTGAAATGTACATTTACTAGAGTATTATACTTTTTCAGTATATGCTTGACTTTTATAACCAATCCTATACCTCTCGTTATGGTGAAATCTCTGAATCGACTCTAGACTGGTTGTGGGCACTAACAGCAGCATCGTTTGCAGTAGGAGGCGCTATTGGATCGATCTCTGCTCCGACATGCAGTGAAATTTTAGGAAGGTGAGTAGGTGTTCTGTTATTCCTGTTTTGTCATGTTGATGGTCGATAGGTAACATCCAAATCGTCACTGCCCACTGTTAAAAATGATAACCCTAAACAAGCCTGCACCACCGTCTTGTCAAATTACAGGAAAGCAGGTAGGTTACTAATAAATAAAATAAAGGAAGGTTCACTTACCATCAATGTTCCTGTCCAGTGATGTCGCAGAAAAGTAGGTAAGTTACAATAGATGAAAGTTCTCACCATAAAATGATACACTGTCGAATAATATCGTTGAAATGCAAGTAGAGTATATTAATTCTATTTTCTCACAATTACTTATCCACTGTCCATTGCAATCTTAGGAAAGATTACAAAATAATTCGTGAATGTTGAATATTTCAAATTTCATATCAAATGATCTAATTAAAAATGTATATGAACAAACAATTGCGAGACAAATAGTTGGTTCTTTATTGGCAGATATAAACGTTCTTTATTGATCCCGAAACTTAGTCAATATATGTTATCTTACATTATGCGTTAGTGCTTAGCAACTGACAAGAATTTATAGTCATAGCGCCATCTATCGGTTTGCGTGAGATAATAGGGGTGGGACTACCAACTCGGCCTTCCGATGAGCTATCGAACGTATTTATTAACACGGCGAAATCACCCCCAACACACTAACATGCGGACGAAATTGAAACGTTTTTACAGCCGAGAGCGCAGGTTTCAAAGGTAACCTCGTAACACGTGTTCTTTTTGCTGTTCTAACTAGATGTGCTAACTTCTCTCTATTGTTTGTAGGAAATTAAGCCTGCTGCTGATGAATGTGTTCTCAATTAGTGCTGGTTTAATGTTTGGAGCAAGTATCAATGCAGATAACTTTGAATTGGTTATCATGGGGCGTGTTATTATAGGATTCTACTGCGGTGAGCAATCAGGTGTCTGTAAGCAATGCGTGTTGAAAAGATGAGGCTGTGAGCAGAGATGAGTTGGTAGTCATGAGTGTGGTGGGAAACTAGAGAAATGCCAGTGTTTCATACATATCTTGGTTACATTTATTCTAGCTTTAATTGACAAACATGTTTTTCTATTGTGATTGTGTAAATCTGATAACGATGAAATCCCCAGAAACGACTTGTGACCTAAACCGTAATTAAGAAAGTCTATCGAAATAAGGGAAGGCTATCTTGTTTGAAGGGCGGTTAGTGTCGTACCGCTCATGTGCGACATTTGTGCTGATAAACGTTGATTTTTCCATAATCCGATGCGCTTTTCTAATGAATCACCAGTACGAGTTTTGCCCTGGGCGCAACCTAAAGTAATTTACCGCCTGCGACTCCTTTGATACCGTCCAAACACCAGAAAAAAAACTAAAGCTTGGCAACCTCACAGTGTGTATTACTATTAGTTGGTGTGCCAACAGTAGAAAATCGCCATCTTTGTTTATGTGAGACCCATATCTCGCGCGTGCGCGGCGCGACGACTACCGCCCTTTAAGGTCCCTGTGTACCGACTTTTTGAAAACATGACACACATAAACATGAAGACCTAGTTTTCCGTTACACCAGCAATGTGTGATGAAAAAAAGATGATGTTAACAGAGATGAGTTGAGATAGTTTGGTGGACATTTGGGGGAGAAATGTTAAAAAAGAGATGATGTTAACAGAGATGAGTTGAGATAGTTTGGTGGACATTTGGGGGAGAAATGTTGAAAAAGAGATGATGTTAACACAAATTCTAGCAATGTGTTAAGTGAAATGAAAAAAAATAAAATATTTATTTGTAGGTGTGGCCATGTCAATAGTGCCATTGTTTCTATCAGAAATATCACCCAATGAGTACAGAGGTATAGTTGGTGCAGGTCAGAAGATAAACCTGGCAGTCGGTATTGTACTGGCGCAGGTAATTATTGCAATGTATACACGTGTGAATCGTTATCAGAGTTATCCAAGCCACGTATAGCAATTACACCACCTACATTGTACCATTATATCACTGTATCCATTATACCATGTACAGTTTACCAATTAAACTAAACAAACATTGCACCATGTGAATCGTCTCCATTATAACCGATTAACTATGATTTTTATACAGTTTATCAATGATACCATATACAGTCCACCAACTAAACCACTTGTGTTCACTCAACTATGTACACTTCATCGAAAAATTCATATGCAATGTACCAACTAAGCCATAATGACTGTACCCATTCAACCACGTACAACACCATATGAAATGTACCAACCAAGCCATATTGACTGTACCCATTCAACCACATACAACACCATATGAAATGTACCAACTAAGCCATATTGACTGTACTTATTCAACAACGTACAACACCATATGCAATGTACAAACTAAGCCATATTGACTGTACCCATTCAACTACGTACAACACTATATGCAATGTACCAACTAAGCCATATTGACTGTACCCATTCAACCACGTACAACATCAAATGAAATGTACCAACTAAGCCATATTGACTGTACCCATTCATCCACGTTCAACACTATATGCAATGTACCAACTAAGCCATATTGACTGTATCCATTCAACCACGTACAACACTATATGCAATGTACCAACTAAGCCATATTGACTGTACCCATTCAACCACGTACAACACCATATGTAATGTAATATTTTATTGATTACAATTCGCCGCAGTTTAATTTCTATTTTCTTTAGTGCATAGGTATATTTTGGCTTAACACAGAAGACACATGGAATATACTTCTGGCTTTGACAGCAGTATTCTCTATTTTACATCTGGTATTTTTCCCGCCATGTCCAGAGAGTCCACGATGGTCCATTATTTCTGACCGTGACGAAAAGAATGCAACATATGGTAATGACGTGCGAATTTCTCATTCCAATTACAAACAAACAAACACACACACAAACAAACATAAACATGTACAATTGTCTACTACACTTGTTTGGGTGATTGAATTTAGATAATGGAGGGGTATGTGGGCTGATAGGATTCATTCGTTAAATGAAGGTATATATATATTATATCTCGTCCTGGGTTATTGACCTTTATCTACCCTCTACAACTAAAATATGAATGACAAATGGGCTTGATTTCAGTTGAGATAAATAGTCACCTCATACTATTTCTGGCAGTAATTACAATAACTTGGGGTGGACGGATTGGCGTTCTGTCTGCAATGATCCAACGAGAAAGATTCTACTTCTGACTATCTTATCTTCATCAGTTGGTGCTGTTAATATCTTTTTCTCAATATGACTCTTTCCAGCCCTAATCCCAAACCTATCCCACGACTCAAATTATGGTCACTTCCAAGGCCTTAATGAATCTTACATTATGCTTGCCAGACGCAAAAATCAAATACAAGTAATTGTACATTTGTTTTAAGTCACGACTAGTTTCCCATTGTATCTTAATTTGCTGCATTGTCAGTAGAGTCGACTTGTTGGTGCAGTGACTTAGCATATCAGTCCAGTATACTGGAAAACAAAATATTAAAAAATATTAATTGAAATAGTTAATAACAAGTCTAACATTATATAATCTTGTTTTAGCTACAGAGATATAGCCTCGGTGAACAATTGTGACATCCCAAACCTTATAGTTAATAATTGTTTTGTCATCTCGAAGTTGATAGTTTACTTGTCAAAATTATATTGTGATTTGAACGTGCAAATGAGAGTAGAATGTCATACTGCATACTAAGGGGTATATTGTGACGTATTGCATTCCATGTGACCGGTTCTCAACCAATCAGCTTGGGTTATTAGAATATCATATCATCCGTTCTTTATTTAGTTGTCTACTGTTACTATAACAGTTGTATTAGCTGTCGTCATTCCTTTTACTGACACTCATCAGGACGGGAAAGATATGACATTTCTGTGATTGAGATACTCCAGGAAAAGAATTGGACTAGAAGTTTGGTACTATAAGCTGAAATTCAATCTGGAATCAATAGCCTGCTATAAACCTCTGCTATCCATTATTAAAGCATATACCAATATGAAATACTGAAAAGACTTCAATGCATTCAAATGATTTACTCAGCTTAAGAGAAAATGTAGAAGCAGTTCTAATACATGAGAACCATTGAAATCTGAAGTTTTCTTAATTGCCGTTTTTTGAAATTCATACTCAAATATGTAATTCATCGGAAAGCGAGAATGATAGGCCATTTAAGCGCAGAGTATAAAACAAGATACGCCCAACACATTGAAGAAGTGCACGGTGAATGTAACAACACAGAGGTACTATAATGGTAATTCCGATTTCTAAAGAAAGCGAACAGGAATTACTTTTGATCTAGTTTAAAGCCTTAAATGTTGGACGTATATAATTTTCAAACTCTAAGGACATAAAGCTGAAAGCGGTGAATACAACCATACTAGCTCAAGAAACTACATCAAGAACATCACTGACCCACTTTCATGATTGTCATGCAAGAAATCGTTCGGATCACCTGATTGTGAAAGAAAAATCAAAAGAATATTGGAGATGTGTAACCGCATATTTGTATATCTACAGTCATAAAAATGTAAGAGATGGAAAAAAAACACGAATTGTTGACAACAAATACATTTGAGAACATATTGACACTGGCAAATTTAGTTTAAACTAGATACAGTGCACTGTTGGCATACGCTTGCACACTTGCGTATGAAGATCATTGAAGGCACTAAGCAGATTGAATTTGTAATCTGGTGACTAAGAATTTGTAAAGATGCAGAAAAATAATGTCTGCAATGCGATGTATGCTGACTTAGCCCAATAGTAGTCAGGTATTGGTAGCCGACTGCCTTGCTGATGCCATCAGTGGAAATACGTTGCTCTATTGGCTACTACTTTCGATATCATGAACATGATTGCCAACAGCAGCAGTTCATATAAATTTCTGTCAAATAGTCATGGCACAAAAGAGTATTCAACTTAACCTATTTCCACCACTATGATCACAATAGAATGTTGATTTGAAATCAGTGATAGATAAAGATACAACCAGAATTAGAAAAATAACATTGTTGATATACAAATCATTCGACAGGCACTAAATAGCAAAAGAACTGGTTGTGATTACTAAAAAAAATAAGGTTCTCATCTTCTGCATTTCGTGCCTTTTGATATTAATCATCAATCTATGTTGAAGCCTGCATTGAAGCTGAGCAGGTGACAATCCCCGCCTTAACTATAATTCTATATTTATTTGATTATGTTTACTTACTTTATACATCTTTATCTTGTCTTGTAATACACATGGATGAACGATGCCCTATTATTTATATTTTTCTAATCAATTTGTTAGCTATTAGGAAATATATAGGAAAGTCTGCAATACAGAGAACAGTGAATGAAATTGTTGTTGAGCACAGAGAAGTTCTGCAGGAAGATCCAGTTGGTTATATCGCCTTATTCAAGACCAAAGAATATCGACTACCTCTTCTGATTTGCGCAACCGTCATGTCTTCAGTACAGTTCTGTGGACTTCCTGCTGTGGGTATTTATATCTAAAACTTGCATGACTCTTGCTATTCAAGTAGTAATATTCAACCGATTGAATGTCACGATTTTCCCCGCCACAATTAGGGTGCATGCTTTGAGGTTATTTTACAGGATATGATGTGGCTCACATATATATTTGCATATAATTAGCATGAATGAGAGTTTGCCAATCACATACCATCGTTTTGTTGATTCCAGATCTACCAATATGCAGCCAGTGTGTTTGAAATGATTTGGCCGAATAACCCGGATGCAGTGGACTATGGAATTGTTGGAATGGGTTTGACTGAACTGGTAGCATCTGTTTTGGCGGTAAATGAATGAATGAATGAATGAGGGAATGTAGAAATAAATGAATGAATGCATAAATAAATGAATATAGTTCAGAGAACACATGGTCATTTACGCGAATTTCCATACGACAATTAGTTTTCTTTTTTATTTATTTACATGTATTAGTTTTGTTTTAGGTATTTCTTATAGATCGTTATGGTCGACGACCATTACTTCTCTACTCACAAGCCTCTATGGTGGTGTTTAATGGTATCTTAACACTATCTCTAAATTTATCGGTAAGTTTGATTGCAATAACGCAGTACAAAAAAAAAGATTCGTTCATGTGTAG